AGGGCCAGTGACTAGGCCTGCCCATGAAGTGTTTACATGCACCCTTCACACGGCTGGAAGGTCGTGTTTATTCGCCAGGTTTCTTTGGTCTTCCTAATTGAACGTTTTCCATCTCCTATTTTAGACTTAAGGATATTGAGTCCCAAAAAGGGGAAGTGGGAGATCTGTGATACCTTGCAAATACAAGTCTGGGTCAGAAATTACAACTCCTCATCCAGTACCAGCCCTGGTCCCAAAGGTGGTGACAGACACCTTCTCATCTCCATGGAAACACCTCCAAGTAGTTTCTGTACACTAGAACCAAGACAAGTGAATTATTAAGGCTATTCTTTATCATCATGATTTTTGCTGTTAGTCCTTGATTGAAAGCTAAGGCATCCCTGAGTAGACTACCAAGGCCATCCAAGTCTCTAATAAGAGAAGGAAATCATGTCATCCAGAAGGGAAGAACATTTGCTATATAGGATTAAAAAGATTTGGTTTTTTATATTTCCTACTTATAGTCACACTATTGCTTATTTGTAAAATTCATTCTACTCATAAAATGAACCAGCCATTAGTGACTAAGAGCTCTTCCCACTAATTAGTGGGCCCATGTGGAAAGGAACATATTAGAGGTTAGAGTAATGGGCATGTGACCCTGACTCCTGTTTCTGGTTCCTTCACTGGCTTGCTGTGTGGCCTTAAGCAGTTTTTCCGAGCCTCACTTTCCCTAAGAAGCAAGTTTCCCACTCACTCTTCTCGGGGATGCTAAAAGATCAAAGAAGGGGTGTTTACAGACCTATTAAACATGCCCCGATGAAGTTTATTAGAATGGCCTTGATTTGATAGTATTAATTAATAAATCCTTTGATTATTGATTGATAGACCCATGTATTTGAGCTTCTAATTAGCTCCTTGGACATAATAAGCCACAGTGGTTATACCAAATCCTAAGATAGGTAGAATGCGGTTCTCAAGCCACATGAGGCTCTTTGGCCCCTTGAGTATGGCTCTTCCACAAAATGCCATGTGCGGGCGTGCACATACAGTGTGATTGAAACTTCCTGGCCTATACGCAGAAATCGGTTTTCAGCTCTCAAAAGAAATTTCAATCATTGTTCTGTTGATATTTGGCTCTGTTGCCACAGGTACTGTCCTAAGGGAAGTAGCACAGTCATAATGATCATTGTGTGTGTGTCTGATGGGCCATCATTTGGAGTCACAAAGCACATGGGCATCTTTACCTGGTGGCTAAGAAGCTGCAGGGAGCCAAGGCCAAGTGTCTCTGTCTGCTTGCTTCTTGTTTTTACCTTGCCAGCCTCTGTGGAGGGTTTAGCAGGCAGGGCCTGTGAGCTGTGCTCCATGAAGAGGCAGTGTATTTACAGCAAGGAGTGGCCATCTGGTAGGCAGCTCCTCGGGCACAGCTGCATCCTGCTGCCTTCATCTCCCTGCTGCCCAGCCCCACCTCCTCCCTCAGTGAGGAGAAAGGGTCAGGCCAGTGTGCCCACAGGGGCATCCCTCTGATTCCTGGGATTCTGCTCATGTCCCAGTGCAATCTCACCTCACTTCCACCTCTCTTTCTAGTATCTCTTTTGCAAATAAATAAATAAATAAATAATACATACATACATACATACATTGTTTTGAACCCCTGCTTAGATCAGACATGAGGGAAAGCATGGTTCTGCCTCCTGTTAGAAAATGTCTGCAGACATCATCCTGGGAGATGCCAGAGCCAGGCAGCCAGGGTGCAGTGCCCAGGGCAGGAGTCAGGGAAGCAGCAGTGGCAGCAGATCGAGGGCCCACAGCAGAGCCAGGTGGTTTGGTTGGGCCGTTGGCAGAGGCTCGGATCTCCACACCAACTGCATGGGGAGCACTTCAAGGGAAAGCCCAGCTTGTTCTACTTTGCAAGGAGCTGTGGAGGGAGGAGCTGCCAGGGAGCCACACCAGTCTGAGTATTGGCTCGGTTTCTTCACCAGGTCAGGGGAGTCCAAATAAAAGGCCCAAGAGAGGTGTTTGCAGGCACCCTCACAACAGGTTTACTTTCTTTCCTCCTGATGGAGCAGGGACAGTAGACTCTGGGTGGGCACCTTACCCCAAATGCTGCCTACCCCAGGGCAGTACCTGTGGCACCAGAGCCAGCCAGGACCAATGGTGGGGACTGGGGACATACTTTGTAGGCTGGGTACAAAGTGAAAATGCTGGGCCCTTGATCCAAACTTACAGAGAATTTCAACCTGGTGACAGCAGAGCAGTAAACCAAATGGGCCCTTCAGAGCACAGGGACCGGGGCCCCAGGCAGTGGTCCTGGCCATGGTGGAGGCAGCACAGGGCTGAGGGTGCCCCTCAGAGACCAGCCATCTTCCATCCACCCTTTTCTTCAAAAAGAAAGGGAAGAGAGAGGGGGCGGGAAATAATTCTGTACACTTCCTTAGAGATTCCCAGCATGCAAATAATCAAATTGTATTTTCTTAAACCCCATTGTGAGAGCTTGATAGAAATTGGGTTTGTGCCTAGTGTTGGTCTCTTTGATGTCCGCTAACTGGGAGATGAGAGCAGTTTGGAAACATACAGAAAGAAGCCCATGGAACACAGAAAAAACTACACCATCTGTGAGTGGCCAAGGCATAGGAGGAGGAATACTGAATTATTAATATAATAAAATATTTCCAGCTTTAAAAAAAATTTTTTTTAAAGAAAAGAATAAGTTTGATTCTGAGTTATTCATTTTTATGTGCCAGGATTTGGGAGAAGTCAGAACAAGTAGGAATCATAAGATCCAAGTTCATTGAGCGCTTACTTTGTGCCAATGAGCGGTATCTAGAAGGGGCCATTAATCCCATTTCACAAATGGGGAAACTGAGGCTAAAAAAATGTTGTCACTTTGCCTAAGAACAAACAAATTGGATGTAGGAGAGCCTGGACTCACACAGATGTGGTCAGACTTTGGAGCCTGTGTGCTGGCCACTTCGGACCGTGTGCTCTGCCGGGTTATAAGGTCATTGTCAGCGATCCGATGGTTCTGCTGCTCTTGTGACTGTGGCCAAGTTCTAGTGGGCTGTCTATAAGTGTCTGACAAGCAAGGGTCAGAGAGAAGCTGTGAGGGTTTTCATTGAGGGATTTAGCATAAAGGCATCAGCAAGGAGCCTGAGGCTCAGCTCTGTCATCTGAGCCATGCAGGCTCTGTGAGGGCCACATTCCATCTGTCCCCACACAAGCTGTCAGAGCCAGCATGGGGCTTCGGGTCCCTTGCTTTCCTGGAAATGTCTCTGCACCAACGTGGAACCACCCCTAAAGGAGAAGGAAAGTATAGCTTCCCTCGGCTTCATAGTGACATGTACTGCGTGAGCTATGGACCACGGAGGAAGCTCTAATACAGGAGAGTGAGGACCGCCTCCTTGGCACATGGAACAATCATCAAATTCTGTCCAGAAGGTTCTGAAGAGAAAAGAATGCAGCCCTTCTAGAAGCAGCTTTTGTTTGTTTGTTTGTTTTAAATTTTTTTATTAATTTTTTTGAATATATATATTTATTATTGACAGTATTGCTGATGTCTCCTACCCCCCCCCCATCCTCCTCTGCCCAGCCCCTACCCACCCACCCCCAGGCCTTCACCATCCTATTGTCTGTGTCCCTGTGCCATGCATATAGGTATGTGAGTTCTATGGTTTATCTCTTCTCACCCCCTCCCCCAACACCAGGAGCAGTCTGTTCCCTTCCTCCATGCTTTGGGTCTTATTTTGTTGGTCAATTTATTTTGTTCATTAGATTCCCAGAACAAGTGAGATCATGTGATATTTGTCTTTCTCTGATTTGCTTATTTCACTTTGCATAATAATTTGCAGGTCCATCTCTGCTGTCTCAAAGGGTAAAATATCCTATAAATTGTTTTTATTATTCATTCCTTTAAGAAGAAACTGTGAGCAAGTCAGAGAGGGTCAGGAGCCCCAGAGGACAGGAGTCTGGGTCTAGGATGATAGCCTGAAAAGCATATGTCCCTGGGAGGAGCCGCGAGGATTCCTGCTTTACCCTCCTTTGAGCAAAATGAGCTCTAGTTCTAAGACTACTAGTATAGAAGGGTTGCGGTATGCCTCACCACCCACCTCCCATCACCCAGCAGTGCTGCAGCCTTAATTATTCCCAGTAATTGCAGTCAGCTTCTTAGTTAAGGGGTGCTCTCTTGGAAGGAAAAATGCCCACCAGGGCCTAAGAGGGAGCTCTTTTTACTGCCCTTTTTTTCCCCCCCTGAACTGCCTCCATTCCCCTGCTCCCCCTCCCTGCGCACCCCCTGGTGGCTGCCGCGTCCTGGCAGCTGCAGGACCCTTGGTTTCTTTGTGCTCAGAAAGCAGTGTGGGCTTGACAGGCGCACATTGTTTTCTTGAGTTGCCTGGCCCAGAATAAGGTCAAGGCAGCCCCCGCCTTCCTCAGGAGGCTTCCTGAGCTGCCTAGTCACCAGGGTGAGCCCGAGCTCTTACACGTTAGTGGGCAGGAAGCAGAGTCCCAAAGGGAGGCTGGGAATTTGAGCGCCTTCCCATTTCAGCACTGGAGGGAGGAAGCCTCAGGCAGTCCTCCGGCAGATGGCTACTGCTTCCTTCCCAGCGCTGGCTGGTGCTGCAACTCCGACCCTCCAGCCTCCAGCCTGCCTCCGCTCTGCTCTCCCCGCCCCTTGCCTTGGAGGGAAACTCCTGCGGCGCTGGGAACTGTCTTGGAGAACTCAACAAAGGCTGAGCAGCCGGCAATGACTTGAAAAGAACTTGTTTTGTTCTCGGTCAGGAACCTGCAGGAAAATCCACACCCACGTTGCCAGGTTTTGAACTGGCGAGCGTGTGTGTGTGTGTGTGTGTGTGTGTGTGTGTGTGTGTATGTGTGTGAAGCAAGCGGTGGAGGAGGCGAAAACAACTGTACAGTCTCTGCTTTGATAAGGAAACTGCCAGCTGCAGAAGTTCAGCAGCAAAGGGAGGACTGTGGCCGCATGAACCGAGCGCTTCTGAACTTACACTGCGTTGCTTTCTGTCCAGATATTCCAGTGGAGGCAGTTGGAAAACCTGTATTTCAGAGAAAAGAAGTTTTCGGTTGAAGTTCATGACCCACGCAGGTAAGCCGGGAAAATCCTCATGTCTGGGAGGGCAAGGACCACCAGCAGGAATAATCCTGTGTTTGTGCTGCCAGCCTTGCTGTTCATTTTGGCAGGGAAATGGGTGATCGTGGAGAACAATTGAAATCAGGCAGTAAAGCTTTGTTTTGTGCTATGCATAAGTGCAGTGGGTTCGTGAGTGTGTGTGTGTGTATGTGTGTGTGTATGTGTTGGGGGGGTGTATTTGTGTGTGTGTGTGTTTGTGGTGTGTGTGTGTGTGTTGGGGATGTATTTGTGTGTGTATGTGTGTGTATGGTTTGTGGTGTGTGTGTGTTGGGGGGTGTATTTGTGTGTGTGTGTATGGTGTGTGTGTGTTTGTGGTGTGTGTGTGTGTTGGGGGGTGTATTTGTGTGTGTGTGTGTGTATGGTGTGTGTGTTTGTGGTGTGTGTGTGTGTGTGTGTGTGTGTGTGTGTGTGTTGGGGGGTGTATTTGTGTGTGTGTGTGTGTGTGTTGGGGGGTGTATTTGTGTGTGTGTGTGTGTGTGTGTGTGTAGTAGTAGTAGTAGTAGTAGCCATTCTGCGCTCATCTCATTTCCTGCACGTGTCGGTGCTCATGCATGTGCAGCTGTCTTTCTAAGCATTTTAGGGAGGATTTCTAGCTCTTCATAACTAACACCAAATTAAACTAGGCAGCAGGCTGAGTCTTTTTAGGAAGTTTTGCCGGAGGAGAATCTGAAGGATGGCTGGTCAGAGCTTCTGAGGGTGTGCTGGGCAGGGCAGTCCGCACCCAGGGTGACCTGCACGTGAAGCAGTGGTGCCAAACTGTTGGATCCCAGGAGCTGTGGGGTGAGGGTGTCAGCCTGGTGGCTGGATCTGAAAGACGCTATTCCTTTTCTCTGCACCTCACATCATGGCCCAGGCGGTGCTAGCATAAAAGCTGCACTGTCAGATGACAAACACTAGGACCCCGTTTGCCCTGCTGCAGGCCCTGGGTGGAAGGTGGGGCAGCAGGCATCTGAGGCTTCTCCTCTTTGTCTGCCACAGTCCTGGAGGTTAGGCAGCCCAGAAGCAGCACAAAATTCCCAAAAAGCAAGCCTGCCACCTCTGAGTAGATTACTTTGGGTAAGTCCAAAAAATGGATTTACAGCCCGAAGGCAGTCCCGGGAAGACCAGACTCTGCAGAGGGGCAGATGCGGGTTTTCGGTGCCATTGATCCCTAGCCCTGGCCTGGGAATGAGGATCTTGCACCAGCTCGCTCCCACATGGCCTGTGAGCCTCTGAAAAAGCTGCTGTGCCTCCTGCAGGGCTGAGGCCACAGGCAGAGAGGGCGCAGGTCAGGGCCTGAGGCTTGTACACCCTCTGGGTCCTGCGGCCCGTGATAACCAGTGAGGCTGACGTGCTGCTTGCTGGTTGCATAATCTGTGCGAGGCAGCCTCTCAGGTAGGGCAAGAGCTTACTCATGGCCCACGGTCACTAGAGAAGCAAACGGAGAACATTTAGAGAGTCTTGTTTTCACAGCCAGGTGAAGGCGGTAGCACTGAGCAGAACAACAACTTGTCTGGCATTTTCAGGGCCTTACAGTCCAGAGACACAGCTCTGCAGAGCAGGAATCCACTTGTGCCTGCAGAGCGAGGGAGAAGGGGAGATGCTGGAAATGATGGCACAGCCAGGATGGAACGCGGTTATCTGTCCAGGGGAACTGACCAGACCTGTCTTAGCAGTGTGGAAGGAACTTCCATGAAAGGAATGAAATGCATGTTGCCACCGTAGGTCTGATGCAGAAAGGAGATGCTGGACAGAGAGTAAAGCCAGGGAAGAGAAGTTTAAGGGGCCAGGCATAGGACTAGACCCTCTTCATGCCTGTGCTCTACCAGGCATCGTGCTAACTCAGGCGCCTTGGACAAATCCTTGTATGCTGTGCATGTGTGTGTATGTATGTATGTGTGTTTTTCTCTGAGTCTATTGCCTTGTCTGTGATACAATACTAAATTCCATTCCCCAAGGCCTAAGGATATAGGAAAGCGTCCAAACCTCACATGTTACTATTATGTGAACCATTAGCCTATGAAATGAAGGTGCTCAGTCTCATATTACTTGAGTAGCTTCTGTATTTGGGTACCAAGACAGAGTCCACGACCCTTCGAGAACTTCTGGCACACTTGGAGAGAGAGGTAGAAGCGTGTTCGTTATTGAGTGTTCACCATGTGCAAGCATGTTTCTCAACACCCATTTCCATTAATCTCATCTGGCCCTCCCTGTAACTCCAGGAAACAGGCACCATAGTGTTCCTCCTGTACATCTGGGAAACTGAGGCACGGAGAAATGGAGCAGCTTGTTCTAGGTTACAAACAGCTAGTAAGTGGTAGAGGCAGGTTTTGAACCCAGGAGTCTGACTCCAATGCTCACACACCTTCCTGCTACACTACACAAGGTAGCAGTACCAAGCGGCAGATGGAAAAAGCATAAATGCTAGAGGTCACCAGGAGCCAGGCTAGTCAGGAAGGACCCATCTGAGCAGAACCTCAGAGGGTGACCAGGATATAAAGTGTGAGGTGGGCCCTCAGGAGGACATGTCTGTCAGGTGGACAGAAGAGAGGAGAGAAAGCGAGGGGCCCAGGCAGCCTGTGCACAGAGCCAGGTCTGATTTCCGTGTGTGTGTGTGTGTGTGTGTGTGTGTGTGTGTGTGTGTGTTTATACTCCATGTCCCGGAGGAAAAGAGCCTCTCTCAGCCCCTATGCAACAGGGAGGAGCCGGGACGGCCGGAGAGGCCAGGAAGGGCTCTTCAGGGCCTCATGGTGCTCCTTAAAATTCAGTGGATCATCCTGCTGCTGGGGCCTTGTTTGTTTGGAGCAGACAGGACAAATCTGACCGGACATCCATAGGGATGACCCCCCCCACACACACACACACCCAAACTAGGAAGTGAGTCAGAACCACAGCAATAGGTTGGAAGTGCAAGAGAGAATCTTGTTGTGAATATACGAAGATGTCATCCATGGGGCATGTAGAGGAACAGGGGATTCACTCAGAGCACAGGCTTACTCCAGAGGTGACAGGCACGGGTGGGGTCACAGAAGTGCTGTGGGATTTGTTCTCCTGCACTGCTGCCCTGACTCCCCCAGCATTGTATCTGCTGTTCTCTGCTTGGAAAAAGGTTTAGGCAGGACAGAAAAGTGGGTGGGGTGGGAAGAGCCTGAAGGGAAAGATGCAGGGAAGAGATACATTAATAATGAAGCAGGAGGAAAACTCTCAGAGGGCCTGATTCAGATGCTCTGTGGCTAGCTTGGAACCACCCAGACCAGAAGGCTTCTTAACTCTTTCTCTCTCACCTTATCTGAAAGAGATCAGCCTGGTACAATTCTCATTGCTTTCACTAAAATATATAGCAACTTACTTTTCCTTTCTAACTCAGCTTTCCCAGGAAAGAAAAAAGTTAGGCCATTCCATGGACATTGCTATGGAAGCCAAAATAGGTGTTCAGACCAAGGGTTTCTTTTTAAATTTATAGATAATTTCTTTTTAGATTTATACATTTATAGACCACAATTTCTTTTTAAGTTTATAGATAAATTTATCTTCAACTGCCTTTCATGCCCTGCTGTTTTGTCTTAACTCTCCCTTTTTAACAAAAGGAAAAACACCCTGCCTGGAATCAGCATCACCCACCCACTCCAGATCTGAATTTCTCCTTGGAAATGGGTCTGAAGAAGACCTACTGTTAAAGCTGTAGCCCCCAAGGGAAGGTGACCGGAGCACTCTAAATTTTCTTCAAGGAAAATGTGCTGTGAAAGAAAAAAGTTATTCACAGGTCCTGAATACCCCAAGTTTTCTCCAAATTAGATATCTTAATCTTGAGAACACACATTTTCTTCGGACATATACACATCAGATATCACAGATCCCACCCACTGTCTCATCACTTTGCCCTACACACACACACACACACACACACACACACACACACACACACACACACAGATACACACTTGCATGCACACACTTTTGTAATAATCTGCCTACTATAAAATACACTTCACTGAGGAACATGGTCATATTACCCCTCCCCCCACCATGCTGCTGATACAGAAATTATGTTGGGATCTGTATTTCTACTTTCATTTTTAGATTTCCATGTGTATATATACTCCATGTCTTCCCCATACATGTACATGCAGAGGCAGGGTATTGAAGGGGTTGGCAGGGCTCATATCTTTCTACTTTTCCTCTCCTGATTTTTCTAAGGCCCTGTCTTCCCTATGAATGTATTTCAAATTAATGACCAGCTCTTTCCAGGAACATTGAATTAAAGTAAGAAAAGCCCTGATTTCCTTAGGACCTCCCACAGGCTGTGGCCTGTGGTGATCAGACCAGAATTTGCTCATCCTTCACCATAGGCAGCATTGCCTGCTTAATAGAGGACATTGTCAAAGGCTTTCCTGTCTCTGAAGTTTGTCTTGGTTCAATACGAGGAGCTGAAGACCAGAAAGGAGACCCATCTTATCTCAAATAAGGCAGAGGCTTGGCCCCATTCTGAACCCAAAGGAGCCAGTAAATCAAAAGATTAGCATTATTCACAAAAGTTAAGGAATGGAAAGAACTTAAGTGTCTGTTGACAGATGCATGGATAAAAGAATTGTATTTTTACACAGTGGAATATTATTCAGCCTTAATAAAGGAGGCAGTCTTGCTGTTTGTAATAATATGGGTCAACATGAAGAACATTATGCTAAGTGAAATCAACTAGACAGAAGAACTACATGCTCTCATTTATAAGTAGAATCTAAAGACATGAAGTTCATTGAAGCAGAACGAAGAATTGTGGTTTCCAGGAGAGATGGGGAGATGGGAAAATGAGATTTTGGTCAGAGGGTACTAAGTTGCAATTATGTAGGATGAATAAAGCTAGGGATATAATGGACAGCATGGTGACTATGGTTACTAATACTGTACTGTGTAATCTTGGAAATTTGCCAAGAGTGGATTTAGATGTTCTCATCACTTAGAAAATAGGAACGATATGAGAATATGGTACGTTCATTAGCTCGACTGTAGTAATCATTTTACTGTGGGATGCGTATCAGATCATCTTGTACACACTTTATTCATAAAATAAAAGTAAGGCCGTTGGTACCGATTTCCCAAAGCGTGCACCAGAGCATGCTCATCTGTCACCTTTGCAGGAGGACATTTAGGACCCAGTGGGTTCTCAATAAAAGTTTTGACCCATCAGTGGAGTTCTTCATCATAAACGTGTTGCCCCTTCTGATTCTTGCTTTCCCAGGGCTTCTGTGACGAGGAGGACGTTTGGGCACAGTGGCATTGCGGTGCATACGTGGTACGCGTGCCCAGCATTAATCAAGTCCATTTGGGCTATGGCTATTAGCCAGCACCAGTTCTACCTGGACAGGAAGCAGAGTAAGGTAAGTCCTTGTCCCGGGCCTGGGAGGGACTCTGTTGTGCCCAGGCTTTCACCAAACTGAGGGCAAATGAGAGCCCTGTCTGCGTCTCGTTGCTGAGGGATCGAGAATTAGAGGTTGGGGTGGCACTGTGTCCCTTGCCCTGAGATGTACACAGATACAGACCTGCCTTTTAGGACTATAGGAGGAGCGAGACGAGCTCTTCGACAGGGCACATTCCTTGCAACTTGATTAAAGGGCTCTGACCCAACCACAGTTGGCACTACTCACGCCATTGAATACAGGCAGGTAGGGCCCTTCTAAGGAATTTGAACCTCAAGAACCTCTGCTAGGAGCAAGCAGTGAAGCCCCTTTTGGTATTTAAACAGTGGCATATTGTTTTGTTTTCAAGGGGGAAAATAAAGTAACCATTCTCAATTAATAGACACCACTTAACTGTTGTGGATAATTGCTGTGAAAACCCTGCAGGCTTATTCAACTGCCAACTCCAGTTTTTTGTTTAATGCAAAACTGGAAACATGAAAAAAAAAAAAAAAAAAAAAAAAAGCAGCCCTGTTTCCCTTAAGGAGACCTGGAGCCTGAGGCCTTGGTAAACAGTCATCCTCAGCAGGAGCTCCCACCCCGCTCCAGGGGCACGGGTGCATATTCTGTGGGTGGGAGAGTGACTTCTCCTTGGTTCACACACAGCTTATATCAACACTCTGCCCCCTCTTCCAGCTGCGCCTGCCTTGCTCCCCTTGCGTCCCCCTCCTCCACACCCTTGGCACACCACTCCCATTCATTACCCCTCAGGTGAAGAGCCATTTGGATGTGAGCTCTGCACTTTTTTCAGGATCCTGCTGCCTTGGGTTAGGGCTACGGGGTGGAATTCAGAGCTACAAAGCAATGCCAACCATGCCTAGTCAGTACCACCACCTGTGGGAGGTTTTCTTCCATTGTTTGAGTTCTTGGCATGGGAGGAGGTGGCAGGATCCTAGGCTTACTGGGTACAAGAATCATAGGATCGGTGTCCTTTTGGAACCTTTCGGTTCCTCTTTTCTTATTTTCCACCTGGATGGAGTTGCTCTTCCCCTGGCTCGGGGAGAGGCATGGATGGAGAGAACTGGGGTAGAGTGGGAAGTAAGAGAAGGATGGTAAGAAAACAGGATAGGAAGAAAGGAAATAATAATTTGAAGTGTAATTTCAATTTCAGATCAATGCCTTTCCCATTGTCTTCTTTGTAACAGCCTTTCTCCTCTACTCAGTCTTCTTCCTGACCCCTCTTTTGTTTTCTTTCTGGGGTGAATGGACATATGGTAAAGCAATTTTCTTACTAGGAATTATGAGAGTATTCCACAGCTCTTCTAGTGGTAATGGGCACAGGAATTTGAGGACCCATTAGATTAAAAGATACAGGATCTTCAGTAGATAAATGGATAAAAATGTTGTGGGACATTTACACAATGAAATACTATGCAGCTGTGAAGAAGAGGGACATCCTACCCTTTGGGACAGCATGGAATGACATGGAGACTATTTTGCTAAGTGAAATTAGCCAATTTGAGAAAGACAAATATAACATGATTTCACTCATTTGTGGAATCTAATGAACAGAATGAATTGACCAACAAAATGAAACCCTAAGCATGGAGACATGGAACAGACTGACATACCTGAATGTGGGGTTAGAAGGACAAGAAATACACCAAAGAACTTATACGTATAGCAGGCAATGGGGTAGTGAAGACCTAGGGGGTGAGTAGGGGCTGAGATGGGGAGAAGGGGAGGTATTTGTAATACTATCTATAATAATAAAAATATAATATGCTAATTAGACCTTCTCGATGTCATTCTGGACCTCCTTCCAAATGAAGCCACTTGGTGTGGGATGAGGCAAAGGTGCTTAGGGGCAATCAGGCAGGCAGGCAGACAAGCAGTTAGGGGTGATCAGGCAGGGAGGCAGAGTGGTAAGGGGCAATCAAGCAGTCAGATAAAGTGTTTAGGAGCCAGAGGTCCCAGATTGTGAGAGGGATAGCCAACTGCCAGTTTAGGCTTGATCCCCTCTGACATCCCCCAGGGCAGATGGACATCCCCCTAGGGTTCCCAATTGCAAGAGGGTGCATGAATTTCGTGCACTGGGCCTCTAATCAACACTAAAAAGTATATTAAAAAAAAAAAAAGGCTAAAGTGTTTTACTCATGCTTTAACTTGAGTTGGTGGCTGGGTGTCAGCATTTTGTCTTCCAGTGTTAGGAGCTGGAGATCAAAACCTTAGAATACTGATCACATCCTCTGTATTGTTCAGCAATGGAGGAGTGAAGGATAGAGTGTCTGGGAATCCTCCTGAACTCCACTGTTAGTTCCTCCTGCAGGCAGACCCCCCACACTGATACCATGATTTTGAACAGGGGAAAGTGAAAGAGTATTTCATCCTAAGGATCATATATTAGCTGTTTAAACTCTTCTCCTGACTTCTGGTTGTTTTCTGTTTGTTTGTTTTGTACAGATAGTCTCTTGGGTAATTCAGGAAGCTGTTCCTAGGGCTCTAGAGCCACATTCTGAAAGGTGATCTTTGTACAGGTAGAGAAATCTCATTCATCAGGCTTAGTGGTCAACCCAATGATGCAATAAGTAAATTTCAAAAAAGTAGTGATCAAAGAACATGGTAACAAGATGTTTTTTCAGAGGCCAAACCAAATACACAGCACTAGGAATATTTTAGCTGTCCTCAGCAACCCCTGACTGAAGGAAATGCATACACTCCCAGAGCAGAACTTTCCCAGTAGGCTTTGAATGCACACAGATTCCTGCACTTCTCATAGGAACCAGTATCCTGCAGGGATCAATTAGGAACAAGTTCCTCCATGTGGAAGTCCAAGGTATCTGTTGTCCAGTTCTATAACCCTGGGCAAATCTTTTTATCACAGCTTTGTTTTCCCCAATTAGAGAAAAGGAAATTCCTAATTGATATTTATTGGTCTGAAGACACAATGTTTGTGAAATTGTTTTAGGAGATATGAAATCTTTTATTATTATCATTATTACTGCAATGCACTATTGCATGGCCAGCACTTATAGAAAGCTTAAATTCCCTAAAAGTTCCCCAAATTAAATTAGAGATGATAAAACTTTCTGTAGGAGTTTTTTTCTTTATTAATTAAGGTATTACATATATGTCCTTATCTCCTATTGCCCTCCCCACCATCCCACCCCCCACTCATGTCCTCACTCCCCTGGTGTCTGTTTCCATTGGTTAGGCTTGTATGCATGCATACAAGTTCTTTGGTTGATCTCTCCCCCTTCCCCTCACCCTCCCATACCTCCCCTCTAAGGTTTGACTGTCTGATCAATGCTTCTGTCTCTGGATCTGTTTTTGTTCATCAGTTTATGTTGTTCATTATACTCCATAAATGAGTGAGATCATGTGATATCTTTCTTTCTCTGACTGGCTTGTTTCGCTTAGCATAATGCTTTCCAATTCCATCCATACTGTTGCAAATGGTAAGAATTCCTTCTTTTTTTTTTTTTTTTTTTTTTTTTTTACCACAGTATAATATTCCATTGTATAGAAGTACCACAGTTTTCTAATCCACTCATCTGCTGATAGGCACTTAGGCTGTTTCCAAATCTTAGGTATGGTAAACTGTGCTGTTATGAACATATGGGTGCATATATCCTTTCGTATTGGCATTTCTAGTTTCTTGGGATATATTCCTAGAAGTGGGATTATTGGGTCAAATGGGAGTTCCATTTCTAGCTTTTTGAGGAAACTCCATACTGTTCTCCACAGTAGCTATACCAGTCTGCGTTCCCACCAGCAGTGCACAAGGGTTCCTTTTCTCCACATCCTGGCCAGCACTTGTCATTTGTTGATTTCTTGATGATAGCCATTCTGACAGTTGTGAGATGGTACCCCATTGTCGTTTTGATTTGCATCTCTTGGATGATTAGTGACTTTGAGCATGTTTTCATATGTCTCTTGGCCTTCCTTCTGTCTTCTTTTGAAAAGTATCTATTTAGGTCTGTTGCCCATTTTTTGATTGGGTTGTTTATCTTTCTGTTAATTTTTGTATGAATTTCCTATAAATGTTGGAGATTAAACTCATCGAAGACAACATTGGCAAATATGTTCTCCCGTGCAGTGGGCCTTCTTGTTGTTTTGCTAATGGTTTCTTTTGCTGCACAGAAGCTTTTTATTTTGATGTAGTACCATTTGTTTATTTTTCTTTAGTTTCCATTGTCCAAGGAGATGTATCGGTGAAGATATTACTTCAGCATATGTCTGAGATTTTGCTGCCTATGGATTCCTCTAATATTTTTATGGTTCCCATCTTATGTTTAAGACCTTTGTCCATTTTGAGTTTATTTTTGTGTATAGTGTAAGTTGGTAGTCTAGTTTAATTTTTTTTGCTTGTATCTGTCCAATTTTCCTAATACCATTTATTGAAGAGACTGCCTTGACTCTATTGCCTCCTTTGTCAAATATTAATTGAGCATAGTGGTTTGAATCGATTTCTGGGTTCTCTATTCTATTCCATTGGTCTATATGTCTGTTCTTGTGCCAGTACCAGGTTGTTTTGAGAACAGTGACTTTGTAATATAGATTTACTGAGACAGGGATGCCCACTTTCATCACTCCTGTTCTACATAGTACTGGAAGTTTTAGCCATAGCAAATAGACAAGAAGAAATAAAAAAGTATTCAAATTGGAAAAGAAGATGTAAAAATGTCATTATTCACAGATGACAGAAAACTTTAAAGACTCCATCAAAAACTATTAGATTTAAAAATGAATTCAGCAATGTAGCAGGATACAAAATTAATGCCAAGAAATCTAAGGCATTTTTGTATACTAATAGTGAACTTACAGAAAGAGATATTAAAAAACAACCCCATTTAAACTGCATGAAAAAAAATTAAGATAACTAGAAATAAACTTAACTGAGGAGGTAAAGACCTGTACTTGGAAAACTACAGGATGTCAAAAAAAAAAAAAAAAAAAAAGATAGAGGAAGACATAAACAGATGGAAGAACATACCATATTCATGGATTGATAGAATCAACATCATTGATAGAATCAATGTCCATACTACCTATAGATTCAGTGTACTTCCTATTAAAATTCCAAAGACATATTTCACAGACCTAAAACAAACTCTCCAATAATTCATCTGACCCAAATAGCTACAGCAATCCTGAGAAAGAAGAACAAAATAGGAGGGATCTCAATACCAGATATCAAGCTACAACACATTTGTTTCTGGGATGTTGTTTTTTATGTAGCTGTGATGTGATTCCTCTTGGTGGGTAGAATGGCCTCTGGATGAGTGAAGGCTGACAGGCGTGGGATGAAGAGCTTCCAGGTAGTTCTGAGCAGCCAGTGTTGGCTGGCAAACCGTCCATTGCTACACACTCTACTGTATCGGGCCATGCCAACCATTCCTTTCTTTGAAGTGCTTTAGAAAAGCTAGGCCTCTCAAGTGATGCCTATCAAACCCAGATACAAGTGCTGTCTAATGGCTTGAGTCAGCAGGGGTGGGTAGCCAAGAAGTCTCATGTTCTTCGCCTAGTACTCAGTTATTTTATCCCTTCAGGGTCATTGTGTAAATCATTAAAAGAAACCAATGAATTTCTTCCTCCCTCCCTCCCCCTCTCTCTGTCTTATATATACACCACTACCACTACCACCAAAGATGGAGCGAAGGGTAAGATTTATTGCTTGGTTTCCTGTGGCTTGTTCTGAGTGAGAGGCTGTGCAGGCACCAATTACAATTGGTAACATATATGTGCTGATCCCAAAGATCAGAAATGTTCTCAGCTGCATATCCACAACCTCTGTAGCCCAGAGCCAGGGAGTGTCTTATAGACTTCAGAGGAAAACATTTGAAAGTTCAAATTATTTAGAGTAGATATTAGACCCTTTTCCTCTGAACTCAAAGTGGATACTTATTGTCTTGGCTTCCAATCCAAACATCTATCCTGTGTGTGTTTTTTCTTCTGATGCAATCTGTTGATTCATTCTATCTAGAGCAAAGGCAGAGTAAAAGCATGGTGGGGGGCAATTAAGCCTTGCTGACAGAGTATTAGTAATAACACTTTGTTTGGCAAAACCTTCATAGCCAGATGCTTAGAAGTGTGGGGTTTCTTTCAGGTTGACCCAAAGGCCTGATTTTGCAAGGAGACAGTCTCCCCATCAGTATTCACTTCCTCTTAGTATTCTCTCTCGACTGGTTCATTTGGCCATTATATTTACATTCTAGAATCTAGAGAGACGCAGTTGATGTGTGGCAGGAGTGGAGATGGTATGGGCACAGGTCCTCCATGTGATAAGTGAGATCTCCAAAATATAAGGTTGAGTCATCAATAAAACCTCACTTAGCAAATCACTACCAGGCCCTGACTTATAGCCCATTACTATTCCAATTCCATTGGCCTTTCTGTGTATTTTCTAATTTAGTCCTTATCACAACTCTGGGATGTGAATTTTAAGATCTGCACTTTAAAAGCTGCAATCTGAGGGTCAAAGGTTGAAGACAAAGATCAAACCATGATTGACTAGGAAGAGTCAGAATTCCAACTCCAATCTTTCCAAGCCTGGGCCCTTCATCATCATGCTGAAATGGCCTGTGTCTTCATGAGTTGTTTTTACATAACTGTGGGCGTGAGCTCCTTCTTATTAAAGCGTGGGCACTAGTAAAAAGTAGTGCTGAAAGAAAGGAAGTCGTGGATTGTGCTTTCTGTGCTGTGGGAGGGAAAAGTCAACCAAAAGGGTGCTGTTGATAAGCTGAGGCAACTGAGATGAAAGGCTCTTCCTGCTTCTGCTGCCAGAGGGAACACTGCGAGGGCCCGGCAGCAGGGTTGCCTGATGAACACAGAGTCCTGAGCCGAAAGGTGAGCTGATCCTGCAGGCAGGGACAAAAGTTGAGGTCAAGGAGATGTCAATCGAGGAAGGGCCAGTGGGATTGAGAGAATGAGGAAGACAGTTCTTGGCCAGTGAACAAAAAGTCTCGGCATTTCCTCTGTTGCTCAGACTTTTTTTGTTAACATGGGGGAAGCTCTCAGCGGTCAGAAGTCACTGTGTTTCATCAATGTTGTCATCAATATAGAGGCCACGGGAAGGACAAGGCCACAGGAAGTCTTTGCTGGACAGCTTGGGACACCTGAGGACAGCATGTCACTATGGGAGTTGGCCTGGCTACTTCCAAGAAGCTACTTCCTCTCTGTGGTTTCCTTATCTACTTCCTGCTGGCTTCACTGGTGTGTGGGAAAGACGTGGTTTCACACATTCCAGATGTGAATGCACACGAAATGACTGAAAACCTCTCCTAGTTCCATCCATGTGTGTGATATCACCAAGGACCGCAGGAAGATGAGCATTTATAGCTGTTCTCATAAAGTGCATAGTATAAGCACTTTTGCCTAAGCACTATCACAAAAATAGATTTCCTGATGAAGGAAGAGAAAGCAACCATCAAATACATATACTGGAAATACTAACCTGTGGCAGTCACCAAACGTGGTAACCACAGCAAATGACTTGACTTTTAGGAATGTGATTGTGACTGCAGAACCCCTTTGATTATTCTAACCTGCTGTGGCTTTTGCCAAGTGGGCCAGCTAATAAGTGGAACAAGTGGAGTGGAGGGTTAACCAGAGCCTGAAGACTTTTCGCATACATTTAGGTGTCAAAGCACTGTGCCAGGAGCTTATTGCTGAGACTGGAGTGTCCAAATGAGCAGCTGTTCTAGAGGCTTTTACAAACTAAGGCAGAGGAGTCTGATCCGGCCCGCCAGGTTTTTTGGGCAGTGAGCGCAACCGAGGTGTTACAGTAGGAATTAGTAGTTCATATAGTCCGGCCCTCCAGCTCTCTGAGGGACCGTGATCTGGCCCCCACTTTAAAAAGTTTGAAGATGCCTGGTGTAGAGGGACAGAGTGCTGTCATTTCCCAATTCTTCAACCTTTCTATGGTCACATGACTAGCAATTTAAGTTTAAATCACTTCAGAATGTATTACAATTGCATTATTTTATTTCAGAAAACTCTTGTGTCACTCATAAAGTTCAAATTATTTTCCCTCCCTCTTTGAAAACAAAACAGTTAAATCTGTACTATTTATGGAGAGCAATGGTCCAGGCTGAGAGGAAGGGAGGTGAGGGAGGAAGGTCTGTTTGCCTGCAAAGCCCCTGCTCTCAAGGACTGTCCAGTACAGCCTACAGAATAATGAGTTTAGAAAAGTTACCACTCATGTCGGCTCCTGAGCCACACATGCTCCTGCAGAGAGCTTCAGTGATTAGTGATTGGCCAGGAACACAAACAAACACTGCAGGTGTGGAGGTGGGTCCCTTTGCTGATTTTCAGGTCTACAAGCAAGCGTGCGATTACTGTTGTCTCAGGGTGAACAGGTGTCCCTTTATGACCTGGTTGCCTTTCTCATTCTAGTCTAAAATCCATGCCGCACGAAGTCTGAGTGAGATCGCTATCGACTTGACCGAGACGGGCACACTGAAGACCTCCAAGCTGGCCAACATGGGGAGCAAAGGGAAGATCATCAGCGGCAGCAGCGGGAGCCTCCTGTCCTCAGGTAGGCACGCTCTTGGGTTGGGAGCCACCCGAGAACATGGAGGAAGTTCCTCTGGAAGCCTGGCTTCAGCCCTGGAGGGCTCCAGGGAAGGCGGGGAACCAGCAGCAGCTCGGGAGGCTGCTTGGCAGGCTCGCCAGGAGCTGGCTCTAGTTTGGAGACATAGGTTTCGGGCCAAATAGGAATCTGAGAAAAGTGCCAGTAGTATCAAAGGGTGGGGGAAGAGTAACGATAGAGCCAGCCAGTGTGGGAAGGATGGTTGGTCATCTAAGTGTCTTCAAGCGCCCTCCAGAGCTCTCTGACTGCGATGGTGATGGCTGAGTGTCAGGAGTGGCAGCTCCGGGGACAGCCGTGGGGTTCACTGTGTGTCATTAGAGGAGAATTATACTCAGGCCGGGCTGCAGGTAGGGTCGTGGTGCTAAGTGATGGCACATTGTGTTCCTAGATGAACTTCTTGAAACTTTATTTATTTTATTTTATTTTATTTATTTATTTTTAAAGAAATCTGTTTCTTTTTTTTTTATTTTATTTTTTTATTTTTTTAAAGTCCAGGATGTTTTAATATATTTTATTGATTTTGTACAGAGAGGAAGGGAGAGAGATAGAGAGCTAGAAACATCGATGAGAGAGAGAGTCATCGACCAGCTGCCTCTTGAACACCCCCTACTGGGGATATGCCCACAACCAAGGTACATGCCCTTGACCAGAATCGAACCCGGGACCTTTCAGTCCCCAAGCCGACGCTCTATCCATTGAGCCAAACCGGTCTTGGCATCTTCTTGAAACTTTAAAAAAGTCCAAAATACTCTTGCTCATTTGGAAAGGAGGGACTTGCTGTCATTGAGTAAGGGAGAGCGATCAAGCGCCTTTTTGAAACTGAGAGTCAAAGGATCTGATTCCTCCCATCTGTTTCTGCGGGCCCTCGGCAAGCCTTTTGTCATTAGATGTTGTGGGAGGGACAGAAAAGCTCTGAGGGTTCAGATCCTGCCAACTTCAGGAGAAGGGACACCACTTGCTCAAGTGTGAGGCAGGAAAAAGAACAGGTTTGAGGAGGGCAGGGAGGGAGAGGGAGGCAGTAATTGTTTGGAAATATTGTGAAAAGTGTTACTGATGAGGGTTAATCCTTAGGCCATACGGTCTGTCTGGTGGTTCTTGGGGACAGTGTGCCCTTGCTTCTGAGCCATGGAAATACAGTGTCACTTTCTTTTATATATATATATATATATATATATATATATATATATATATATATATATATATATTTTATTATTGATTTTTTACAGAGAGGAAGAGAGAGGGATAGAGAGTTAGAAACATCGATGAGAGAGAATCATCAATCAGCTGCCTCTTGCACGCCCCCTACTGGGGATGTAACCTCAACCAATGTACATGCCCTTGACCGGAATCGAACCCGGGACCCTTCAGTCCGCAGACCGACACTCTACCACTGAGCCAAACCAACCGGTTTCAGCATAGTGTCACTTTCTATAACTGTTTTCTAGTGGTTGCACACAACAGCAGAATGACACACAGAAAAAGGAAAAGAGACAGGAGAGGAGGAAGAGCTGAAAGCCATCTAGTTAGCTTCTGGGCAGGTGGAGTCCAGGAAGAGCCAGGACAGGGAGGAGGATGGCTGCCCTTCCTGGACTGGGAGGCGGTGTTAAAAAAGGCCCCTTATTTGACAGGCCTTTCTTTCTAAAGCTCTGAGAGGACCCCAACATGTGTTCACATGGCCATGTGTTTTCATCAAATCTTCTAACATAATATGTTTCACATTCTTTTTCTTAAATAAAACCTCCACAATAATAGAAGTCCTGGATCTGCCTCTGCCAGATCACCTTAGGGTTCACCATAAACCCCTCCCTGCTTCACGATTTCTAACATTTTTCTTTTATCAACACAACAGGCCAAATCATTATTTCTGAGGCCTAGAGGTGGTCTTCTTTTATCAGCAAGAAGGCCATTCAGAACCTAAGCCCCTTGCCTGGAATTGCAGCCACTCCTAGTCCCCTGTGGAATGGCCTAGGGCAGATCAGAGCCTATCCCTGTGTTTGTCCTCTAGACTCTCCTGACTCCTGCTAAGACCCAGAGTCTCAGATTCCAGTCTGAACTGACCCACCCAATCTCCTTATTATCCAGCCACAGATGAGCTGCATGCATCCTTCATGCTCAGTGAGGGTTGCATTTCTGCTGTGGTTACATATCCATTTGGGAACCTAGGTCCTTTGTGAACATGGCACAGTTATTCACAGAAGGACAATGATCACCCAGCTTACGCTTCTCCCACCTCCCTGTGCATCCCAACTGCTTGGAGGGAGTGTTCAAGCACAGACAACTAGGCTCCAGCTCCAGAATGTTTGATTCCCTTGGTCTAGGGTGAGCCTGAGGATTTGCATTTCTAATGAGTTCTAACAAGACCTCAAGTGCTGCTGATGCTGCTAGTCTGGAGATCAGACCCCTCTTGGAGAGCTACTCTTCTTGCCGAAGAAGAGAAAAAAGACAAGCCGGAGGTGGCTGTGCTCAGAATCTTGGGAGGACCAGGTATCCCCACTTTTAAACCTGTTCCCTGGTCCATCTGCTAGGGTGCCTTATCTCTGGCAGCCTCCAGGGATACCAAGGCAGTGCCTTATGGCATTTACAGGTGAGAGTATGAGCAGGAGCCCCAAACCTTCTGACATGGAACTGACCTCACTAAACCATCAGAAATTAAATCCAGGTAACTTTAAGGGGAAAAGCAGTTCCTTTCTGTTACTGCCATCACCTTGACATTAACCATCAATCTAGAAGGTAAAGCAAAAGAAAACCTCCCTGCTGAACCCACCCCCACCCCTAATGGAAGCATCTTTATTCCACCCCTAATGGAAGCATCTTTATTTCAAGATGCTAAAGTGATTTTTCACATGTTTGATAACTTGTGATGGAGGCCCCAAGCTAAGCTGTTGTCGTCAGTCGATGGAGTCAGCTAAGGACCCTTGCCCTCCCCACTTTCAGTGGCTTCCTTTGCAGGCACTGACTCCTCTGCTGCACAGCTAAGCAGGAGGAAGCTGGGTAGAGGAGTCCGCTGGGAGGTGTAAGCCTTGCCCATGGCAGGCCAGGGAGTGCTTCCAACTCTGCCTCACCCTGTGGTTAGAGCCTGAAGAATGGTCCTTGAATGTGAGGCTGAGCCTCCCAGGGGAGGTTCCCTTCTCTTGACTTAGGAAAGACAATAGGGCAATGGAGGGAAAGACCATAAAATAGGAAACTTCCGTCCCTCAACTCAACAAAGGGAATTTCTAGAGCCTGGAGATCTGGTCACCACTCCTTCTGGGCCTGCTGATTGCTGCTCCTCTGTATTTTCTTGTCCCAGGAGGAAACGCCTTCCCTTGAGAAGTCCTTAGAAATTCCTCCTGGAAGGCACCTGCTTCTCATGCCCCACAATGCAGAAATCTAGGCTAGGCTCCCACCCTGTTCTTTCTGTCCTTTCATGTCCTCTTGCCTAACTGCTATTGAAAATGCCTTTAGTCATGTGCTCCCACAGGCTGAGAGGGCGTTGCTCCTCCAGCCCAGCCAGCCCAGCCCTGGTTTTAAAGAGTTTTTACTACACTTACCAGACCCCATATTCTATCCCTTGTTCAGAAAATATAATGCATATAACCTACTTGGGAACCAGTTAATGAATTTGTGCACCTTGAAAAGAACTGTGTACCGAGAGGCTGCTGGGGGAGAGGGAGGTGCAAGGACAGGTCTTACCCCATCCTCTGCACCCCTGCCCGGCCCCACCCGCATGGCCCTTGGTCCCCTGTCTTCTTGCAGCCCCACTTGTGCCATCACAGCTTCCACACGCTGACGGAGCTGGCTACTTGTACCTGCTGAGGGCACAGAGCAATTGGGCTGGCAACATCAGCAGGTGCTAGCAGTGGCTGCTGTTCACATCACCCTTCAGGAGCAGGGGGAGGTGGAGAAGCCCTCAGAGGCAATAGGGGCTGATGCTGGGCACCTGCAGCAGGTGCAAGCAGTGTCTCGGGTGCCAGCTGCAGGTGTAAGCAGGGCTGTCACTGGCAGTAGGTAGGAACGGGCAGCTGCCAGCCCCAATCGCCCCTCAGGAGCAGGGAGAAATGGAGAAGCCCTGAGTGGTGATGGGGGCAGAAGCCACCACTAGCACCTGTTGTCAGCACCAAATGATCAGGGCCAGCATCAGGCGATCAGGGCCAGTCCAGGCATCAACAATGGGTGGGAGCGCCCAGCAGGACCAAGGGGCCTGGGAGCAAAGAATTTTCAGTAATCACCAGAGGCTCACCCCAATGGTAGCAACCAGTGCCCGCCTTGGTCTGATGTCCCTGCTCACCTGCTCAACCATTCCAACGCGGCTGATACCCGCTATGTTCTGCACAGGTCCCTTGGAGGTTAGCGCACATCATAGCCACTAGTTCTTCAGTTGTTCTGTCTTTAGGTCTATTAAATAAACTCTATTTGCTTATTGGGTTTTTATATATATCTGTATATCCTATTTGATCAGTTGACTTCTCTCCTGCTGCTGCCTCATGTTTTTTTTTTGGAGAAAAAATGATGGCCCTTAAAAGCATTTTGAGAAATTAATTATTATTTGAAAATTATATTTTCTACTTCTAGCTCACTTTATGACATCTAGTAGGTGCTCAATACACAATTTAAAAAAAATTGTTTGCATTATATTCTCATGACTTATTTATAACTGGAAATTTGTACCTTTTGAACTCCCTCACCCTTTCACCAACCCTCTCAAGCAACCACTAATCTGTTCTCTTACTCTGTTTTAGTTTATTTAGCATTATGCCTATGTTGCTGCAAATGACAAGATTTCATTCTTTTTTAATGGGTGAATAATATTCCATCATGTATGTATGTGTGAGTGTGTGTGTGTGTGTGTATGTGTGTGTATGTGTGTGTATGTATACACCAAATTTTCTTTCTTTATTCATTCAGTGCTGGACATTTACCTAATTTTCATATCTTGTCTATTATGAATAATGATTCTGTGGACATGA